TTAAAATAATATATAGAATTTTTTATTTTTTTCCACCATTTGAGTTTTTAGTTTTTAATGGAAGAATATAATTACAGGACATCAAATATGATTAAATAGCCAATTAATTGGTAAACATGTATAACAATGTAAAACGCTTTTATTCCTTTCATTTGTTATTTCAGGTTTCCCATTTACTATATTTTTTTTCTCCCATGTCTTCCGTATGCTGATCAATTTTTTCCCATCCTGCCCCTCCTATAAATGCTTTGCAAATTAAATCCCTTAGAGTTCTATCTTTTAAGTAGCTAATTGTCTTTGTGTTTTGAAATAGTTTCAGATTTACAGATGAGCCACAAAGAGTATGCTGAGTTGTCATAACCTCTCCATCCGGCTTCTCTCAGAACGTCTTACACACCATGCATTTTAATTAAAACTAAAAAAAAAATTGCAGTTCTTACAAAAATCTTTTTTAAAAAACTAAGAATTTAATATCAAAACAGTGCTATTTGAAAGCCTTTATTTGGGTCTCACTAATTTTTCTACTCAAGTCCTAGATCCCCATCCAGGACAACAAGTTATATTTAGCCTTCATGTCTCTGAGTCTCCTCTAATCTGTAATGATTTTCCACTTTTTCCTGATTTTTTCAAGAGTGCTGGTCAAGTATTCCGTAGAATACCCCAATACTTGGACTTGTCTGACATTTTCTCATGATTACACTGGGATCATGGATTTGGGGAGGAACCCCACAGACACAACACGTCCTTCTTATAGTGCCAGCACGTTTTTTGAAATAAAGGCAGGTTTACTCCGAAAGCCAAGCAATTTGGTTTACTTCCCTCCTGAGCAGACAGCCATCTTCCCTTTTCTCTTTCTTGCTAATGAAATAGGTCTGGAAATCCCCCACACCTGGAGCCCTTGTCCCATACACAGTTCATTTTCTTTACAAAGCAGTCCTGGCTTTTGTCCTAGGGTTAAAAGTACTGTTGCCCCCACAGTAGGAGGAACTGAGAGAGTCCCAGGAGGAGGCGCCTGCTGGCCCAGGTGCGGTACATCCAGCTAATTCAATAGGACGTGAACACCTTCCATCTTTGTTTCTATTCTCATTGAGCCTAGACTATCCCTAAAATTGTGTTGCCTCTGCATTTCTTCTCCTCACATCTAGTAAGATGTAGTTTTTCTACTTTTATTACACTAGCATTTTGATCCCATCTGCTTTTTAAATTACAAGTTGCCCTGTGTATTTATTTATTTTTTTTAATGTTTAGAGAAAAACTGCTTTGTTCGAACCAAGCTCCCATTAGGGACTAGGTATTGCATTTTGTTATTATGTCTCATTGGACTTTTCAGAATACTAACCCATCACTTTATTTTTCCATATTTATGTCCTAAAGGTATCATTCCATCTAAAATGATCTCCTGCTAAGGGGTTTGGGATAGACAGGGAGGTTGACATGTGTGCTCAATCCACCACCATGAGCCAGTCTCGCTCACCTGCCCCCAGTGACCTTAATAAAAATAAAAAACATGAACTTTTTAGCACGGCCTTTTATAGCCTGATGTCTACCTACCTGAGCTTGTTTCCTTCTGCTTCCCTCAAACACCCTCATTCTCAGCATAACATTTTCATATGAATTTTGCACCACACCAGAGCGCACTGGGGCCTTAGTGTGGTTTTGTTTCATAAACATCCCTCTCTTCCAGCAACACGGGACCTTAACCCACGGTGCTGCTCGCCAGTGCAGATCGTCTGCACATCTCCACTGTAATACATGATATTCTTCTCTTCTCTTACATTGCCTTCTTCAAAGCCAAGCACTGGAACAGTCAGTAACAAGTGGACATAACAGGAGTGATTATGGGTTTCTTTTTTAATTAACCTGGCTAATAGAGGCAACTTACAAATGTCCACAAAAGAACCCACCTAGCATGGATGGAATGGCCATATAATTTATCTTCCAAACTGATATACTTTTGAGAATGAAAAGGAATGCTATTGATAACTACACTAATATAATATCTATAAATCAAGGTTTCCTGGACTATGAATGGCTTGTAAACCTTTCCATTAGAAGAGTTTATTTTTCTCCTTTAAAAACCCTAATACTTCGCGTGTCTGCTTAAACATGGTTGATATTTATTCCATACACAGGTATTCACTGAACCATACTACAGGACACACAGTGCTGAACGCCAGGAATAAACGGTGAACAAACAGGCAAGGTCCCTGCCCTCATGGGGCTTTTATTCTCCACTTTCAGAAAGCATGACTTTGAATCACTGCAACACAGAAGAGGGTACAAGCTTCAGTTCCACCAAAGCTGTTAACTGATCTCTGCTAACAGTCTGACGCAGTGCAGAGAGGGCAGAAAGACCAGTGTCTGTCACTTAGCTCAGGCACCTACTAGTGGCTTTGAAGAAAATACTGCTGTGATCCTCATCTGGGCTTACACTATGAGACTGTTAGAAGGAGCAATGTTTGTACAAATGCTCTAAAGGAGGTCATTGCCATGCTCTCTCAAACACCACCAAACCTGTGCACAAAGAACACAGAAAACATCAGGTCTACCAGACAGAAAGAGAGATGTGAGGTGGGGGGGATAGAACTGGTAGGGGGGTGGGAATGGGCCCATGCCCAGGCAGTAATAATAGCTCTAATCGGAACTGCTCCCTGCATTGCTTGAGTCACAGAGTTCAGCAAAGAGGGTGTCTTGCAGAGCAAACGGTAAGCTTGCAAGAGCAGTAATCAGCTGCCTGCCTAAAGTCCTTTCCCAGCAGGCACCTGCTGATCTGACTCCTAGTGTCTTGCCAGAATCTGTCTGTCTCGTGGAGAAAAGTCAAGAGTGAGCTACATGGGGTAGAACGTGGGTTCTGGGAAGTAGGGAGAAAGCTGTAAGAGGTGGGAAAGAGATCCAGAAAGGGATGGGAGGCACAAGCATCATGACCCTGCCGCCCTGCCCAGGAATCTGAAGTTTCTGCACAGTGCCTTGTGCCACGGCACAGAGGGAGTACAAAATAAAGTGGTTCTGCACAGAGCTGATTTGTTCTCTTGCCACAGGCTTCTTTCCCTGCCCTACAAATTCAGTGCCATTGCACACACAGAATGTCAACCATCAAATCAGAGCTTTGCTCCAGTGCACTTTCCAAAGGTAACAAATTCACTGAGTACCAAATACCTTTACAAACAACAAAAATCTGAATATTAATTCAGTTAAAAATACCTTATTGGAATTGTAATAAGAACATGAGTAGTAAGAAGGACCTATTGATAAAATATGTTTCCAGTACCTCCTTCTTTGTAAAGCTGCCTTTTAGTACATCTAAGATTTTCACCTGTGAGCACAATTGGAGGACAGTAGGCTTCCTCTGACAGAAAAGCTTCTTCCATTCAGATTGCTTACTGTAACTTTTATTTTTTAAACAAAAGCAATACAGATTCATTGGGAAATACTAGGAAATTTTAAAAAGCCTAAAGTGAAAATAAAAAACATCTGTAATTCCACCACTCAGGAATAAGGACTGCTAATACCTTGCGGTATCTCCCTTAAGTATAGGCAGTTTTTACTAATGTGACATCATCATCACCAACATTCCTTATCCATTCTGTTTGATTTCCATGGTCACAGACACACAAGGCACTTTAAAACACTGGATTTCCATTTGCAATCTGTGGCAGGCTAAATCCTTAATTAGTAACAGCAGGTGCTAAAGCGCTTAAAGCAAATCACTCCCACATTTTAGTGAGTTGTTATTTATGTCACTCTTATCACCGGGAGCAGCGCCTCCGACAATCAGGAGCAGCTGCATGGGCCGCTGCTCGCACAGGGCCACGGTGGGCCTGCAGTTTCCCCAGGAGCCCAGGGATTTAACATCCAGCAAGCTGCTCTTCCAGCAAAGGCACACAAAAGGTTCAGCCGGGGCTCTGACTCTCACGGGCAGGAGACCATAATTACCTACGTACTACTACATAATCAGCTGTTTTATTCGGAATTCCATTTTGTGCAGTTTTGCTTAATCCTGTACCATAATATTTCTCCTGAAGAGTTAAAATCAGTTTCTGCATCTTAAGGAAATTAAGAGAAAAATCTGCCACACAGGTCCACTTCAAGGTGGTGATGATTCCGTTCTGGAAAGCTTGTTCTCGAGATTAAACACCCACAGCCTTGTCGGGGCAACAAAACGGCACTCAGCACGCGAGGCTTCCCCTCACACCCGCCCGGAAGAAACCCTCGATAAGAGGAAGCCGATGAAGGCCAGCGGGCCTGGCCTCCGGGCTGGGCGAGTTTTGCTTTCCCTTTCTTCCTAGCGCGGTAGTATTCACCGTTGGTTTTTTACCTAGAAGCGTAACAACGCCAACCTGCGCCTAGCTAAGCGGGTGACAAGTGCTTTCAGAAGAGGCCAGCGAGCTTGCTGATTTTCAGGGCGGTGGGAGGGCCGTGCGGAGAGCGCCCTTCTCTGCACAGAGCTGCCTGATTAGGTGGCCGCTCCAGGAAGGACACTCGGCGACACGCTGCTAGTGGGTGAATTGAAAAAAAAAAAAAAAAAAAACATGAACTTGCCAATCCGTGCAGCGACAGGAATGCATATTAAACTTCCCATAGTAAAAACGACGATTCACGTTTTGTCCAGAAGTGGCTGTCCAATGCTCTCCAAGTGGCCTTCTGCTTGAAAGACGACCAGGATCAAGAGCAGGGAGGAGGATTTCTTTCATAGAACAGCTTAGCTCACTTTCTGCCTTGGCCTCTTTTGCTGAGGTAATTTAGCCCGGCTTCCAACCTCAAGGCCCTGGAGGCCGGAGGCCGGGTCCTCCGGATGGCCTCTCTGGAGCCGCGTTCGCAAATGGCCAGCTCAGGGCACCTGGGCAGGGAGGCCTTGCCAGAGCCTGGAAGCCGCCCTCTGGCGGGCCCCTCGATGGGAGCTACCTGAGGCCAGCTTTCGAGGGTAGAGGCGCCAGAACCCAGCGCCTGCCCGCGGGTTTATAAACGCAGCTGCCTCCCCTTCTTCCTCCTGCGCCTCTTACCTGGTCTGAAAGCGGGCCGAGCTCTGGGCTGATAATTGAGGCCGCCATGGCGCGCTGCGCACGTGCTGGGTCCTGGGGCAGCCTCCCCACAGGAGGAGCTCGGCAGCCCGCCGCGTCCTCCGCGAGCGCCCTCCGCGCTAATGGCTGCAGCTGTGGGAGTGCACGCCCCTTAAAGTGGCCTTGCCTCGCCTCGCCTCGGGACCGGGCACCCAGGGCAGCTCTGGGACCCTCTGAGGAGCTGGCCTGATCTCTGCCTGAGGGGGCTTTTCCCAGTGTGCCTAGCAAATGTGCTCCCAGGGCCTTAGCAGACCATGGCATTTGCACTTTGCCCACCCCAAGTTCACAAAGCACTAGGACTCAGAATCGCCACCACCCCTCCCTGGGGAAGCCTGAGGCTTATACTTATTTAGGGGCAGTCTTTTAAGTTCAAAGGTTAAGAATTAGCGAACCCTTAGGATTTTTTCCCCCTTTCCTAGACAAACACGTATAGGATGGGGAAGAGAAAAGCTGTCCTGGCGCTTTTTTTCTAAACCACTAAGGAATTAAGCACTTTCGAAGCATTCGTTTTGTCCCGTAGTGTCACAAATATCTTGCTGTTTTCTCAACTGAGAAAGTAAGACAATAAGGAAGAAGTCCGGTGGCTACTGTTGTAGGCCCTCTGTTGAGCTTTCATTAAACGCTTAGATCTATTGAGCACCAGGACGGGTGAGGGATCCTTCTCTTCTGTCTGTAACATGGCGGCGATTTTTCCACCGCTGGCAGTGTGGTGGTAAGAAACTTGATCTCACTTGAACACTGGCTACTTAAGTGCTCTGGGGGAAACGCGACGGCAGGTGGGTCATTTCTGGGCAAGCCTCCTGGTGTGGCAGCAGCTGCTGCCTTTTGGGAACCCGATTTAGATCATGAGAGCAATGCAAAAACATTGCTGCGGTTCTCCGTGCTTTTGATATAAGGAAACAGTACCGATAAATTTCTAACGAGATCATTCTGCATTATTTTTGGGAGTCAGTGCACACATTTTAATAGAAACGAATTTTGCTTCTTTATTGTGTGATGAATCAGGAATTGAACATCTAGAAAAATGTCTGTGAAGCAGTGGGTTTGTTCACCACGATAGGACAATGGTGGAGTCGTGCCCAAACACTGGGGTGGGGTGTGAACTGGGGGAGCTTTGAGCATTTTCTTCGTGAATGGGGAACCAGATTTTCATTGCATCTGATTGTAATAATGAGAGACCCCAGATACTAGGGAATGAAGTCAAGCAGAGCAATTTGCATTATCATGCTTCTAAAAGAGAGTTACAATATGGAGGAAAGGTGTTAGATGGTGCCCTAAACTGTTCTAGCTGCTACACAACTGCCACAGAATGGTGGCTTATAAACAACAGAAATTTTATTTCTCACAGTCAGGAGACTAAAATGTCCAAGATCAAGGCATTATCAGATGCAGTGTGTGGGAAGCACTGGCTTCCTTGTTCCCAGACAGTGTCTTTTCACTGTGTCCTCACATGGCAGAAGGGACTGGTGAGGCTCTTAGGCCTCTTTAACTTAAGGGCATTGATCCCATTCCTGAGGGCTCCTTCCTCATAACCTAATTACCTCTTAAAGTCCCACTTCCCAGTACCATCATCTTGAGGATTGGAGTTTTAACATGTTACTTCTGTGGTTACAGCTTTTTGAGCATTCTCTTTTGGTCTTAGCATTTTTGAAAGGGATGGACAATTAAATAATCTCTAGAGTCCCCCAAGTTCTAAGTTTCTGTGATTTTTGAGAAGAAGCCAAGTCAGCAACATTGTATATAACATACACAGTTTATCCTATAAGATAGTCAGATGGAAAATTTTCAAACATTTAAGGCATAGGTTCTTTTTTAAAATTTTTAAAAACTTTTATTTAATAAATATAAATTTCCAAAGTACAACTTTTGGATTATAGTGGCTTTTTCCCCCCATAACCACCCTCTCACCCGCAACCATCCCATCTCCCACTCCCTCTCCCATCCCATTCTCCATCAAGATTCATTTCCAATTATCTTTACATAGAGATCTACTTAGTATTTACTAAGTAAAGATTTCAACAATTTGCACCCACACAGAAACACAAAGTGTAAAGTACTGTTTGAGTACTAGTTATACCATTAATTCACATAGTACAGCACATTAAGGACAGAGGTCCTACATGGGGAGTTAGTGCACAGTGACTCCTGTTGTTGATTTAACAATTGACACTCTTGTTTATGACGTCAGTAATCACCCGAGGCTCTTGTCATGAGCTGCCAAGGCTATGGAAGCCTCTTGAGTTCACCAACTCCAATCTTATTTAGACAAAGCCATAGTCAAAGTGGAAGTTCTCTCCTCCCTTCAGAGTAAGGTACCTCCTTCTTTGATGGCCTGTTCTTTCCACCGGGATCTCACTCACAGAGAACTTTCATTTAGTCTTTTTTTTTTTTTTTTTTTTTCCGGCCACAGTGTCTTGGCTTTCCATGCCTGAAATACCCTCATGGGCTTTTTAGCCAGATCCGAAAGGGCATAGGTTCTTTATCAAAGTTCATTTGAATGGAGCCTCTTATTATATATTACCTGCAAAGCTATTCAGTATTTACATACTGTGAAAAATAATTATAATTTAATGTAAGGGGGATATTATAAGGCATATGCTATGAATGTTAATAATTTTAAGTGACTGGAAAACTATTTTCTAAAACTGAATTAAGAATGCAAGTTTTTTAATATATTTATATAGAATTGGTCATAATATTTTATACTTCACAGTATTCAGTTTTCCATCAAAAATATAAATAGCATACTTACATTCTTGGGAAACAGAAAATATCCATCTGCCAATTTGTCTCCAGTAAATGAGTATGACTCAAGAAAGCTAAAGGTGACAAAATATTAAATGGTTTATACCCAATGGAATAATCTACCAGGTGTATTGTACAGTTTCTCAGACTCAAGCTAATGTGATTAGGGGCCAGATAAGTCTCTGTTGTAGAAGGCAGTCTTGCACATTATAATGTGTTTAGGAACATCCTTGAACTCTGCCTGCTAGAAGTCAGTTCACTCCCAAGTGGTAACAACAAAATGTTTCAGACACTGTCAGATGTCCCTTGGGGGACAAACCCCCCACCCAACTTCCCAGGAGATGGATAGCCATTGTTTATAGTAGGTGTCTGTTCATCTATAAAGTAAGCTTTATTTTTCTTAGGAGATTGAAAATGAAAATAAGTTGTTTCTTATGAAGCTTGAACTCATATTCTAGATAGAGAAGAAATTTATTTTTTTCTCTCTCCAACACTGGAGAGATGCCTTCCTCCCAATAATCCTGAGCATTTTTTTTTTTACTCAGAAGCAATGAGCCTGTATTAGTTTCAACAGAAGTTGAAAGTCAGAGAATTAACTATTTCAATTTTCACCAACAGCTTTTCATATTTCACACAAAAAACTCTTTTTAAATACATATAATCATTGTGCTTGTACTATCTTCGGAAGAGTAAGTCCAAGAGTCTACTATAACTTGACTAACCATTAGGTACTATTATAAAATTATCAATAAGGATATTTTCATAAGGTTAAGACTCTTGCTTCTACTTCCACCACTCCCATATCCCCCATTCTTTCAAGCAGCTCATCAAACTAACCAGAATGATCTTATAAAATATAAATCTTAATATTAATTTCCCTTCCTAAAACCCTCTAATTAAGGGAAAGTCCAAATTGTTTTCAATTCAAAAGGCTCTATATCCTGAGTCTACCTCTTTAACCTCATCTCCCACAATGTTTAACCACTTCTCATGACCACTAGTCTTGCTGCATTCTATTGGTTCCCAAGATACTACGTAAAATGCAAAGCTAGAGCACTCTGCCTTTCTTCTTCCCTCTACTCCTTCCCTCAGATTTTCCCATTTCATTTGGATTTCTGTTATAGTGTCACCTGCTTGGGCACTCCCAATCAGAATCTAACCCCTTACTCTGTTTTCTTTATATCATTTATCTAATGTTATATGATGGTACTTCAAAAAGTTTGCAGAAAAGTAACATTACAAGTTTTAGTGCAAAAACATTTTGAAATACATGTATAGTTATTTATAATATGCATTTCTATGAGCTTTTTGAATGTCTCTCATTTAGAATATTTATTTCTTACTTATCTTCCTCTGCTCTCTAGTACAGAAAATTGTTCCTGTCTACCATTATCTTACATTGACTTAGAAAAGCACCTGGCTCATCAGCATTAAGATATTTAAACAAAGCAATGAATTACGGTTATTTTAGTAGTTGCTTGGTATATGTGGCCATATATTCAGGTCTTTCCAGCTCTGTCCTCTGTTTCCTAATCACAACTTGTGTGGTGGAAAGAAAAAGACAGGTCTGGAGAAAACAAAAATGTATTTGTCACAAGAATTATAAACTCAGCATCTTAAAGCAGAACTGGTATAAATTATGTTGATGGTGACACAGGCAGAGGAGTGGTCAGTTTTAATGTGTCCTTTACCTATTTAAAAATGTACAAGGAATTCCTGGCTCACAAAGTTAAGTTCTGGGCCAGTGTTGTGGCATAAATAGGTTAAGCCACCACCTGTTGACACCGGCATCCCATATGGGCACCAGTCTGTGTCCTGGCTGCTCCACTTCTAATCCAGCTCCCAGCTAATGCACTTGAGAAAGCACCAGAAAATGGTCCAAGCACTTGGGCCCCTGCACCCATGTAGGAGATCTAGATGAAGTTCTTGGCTCCTGGCTTTGGCCTGGCCTACCTCTGGCCGTTGTGGCCATTTGGGGAGTGAAATAGCAGATAGAAGCTTCTCTCTCTTTTTCCCTCTCTCTCTGTAACTCTTTCAAATAAGTAGAAATAAATCTTTAAAAAAAAAAACACTTAAGTTCCCATTCCTTAATATGTCATTAGGGCACACATTATTTTGTTCCAGTCTGGCTTTCTGCATACAAACTTTAATCAAGTCAACTAGATTTGTTTCTATTCCTTAATAATGTCCTGGGACCAACCTCTTACCACCCCACCCTACCCCACACCACCCCACACCACCCCGAACAGTCCCCAGTGTAGGATTTGCACAACTAGTAATTTCTTTCTTTGGAAATACATGATGGGATGAATCGCCTGGAACCCGGAGAATCCCTTACAGAAGGCATTAGCCTTCGAGCGTCTGTGAGCACAATTCATTGATTTGAGAACCTCCCTGAGTATTCCTTCTGATCCTCCCTAGCTGCTAATTCATTTCTTCATCTTCTTTGTTTCTGACCTAAAACAAAAACCTTTCCTGGTTGTGGGGAGCAACTTGGACTAGACTGTTACTCGAATTAAGATTTATTCTATGCATCTGCTCTCCCACAATATGGCTCTGGGAGAGGAGGAAACAGCTTCTACACAGCTGCCTCCAGTTCAACCAATAAACAGCAGGACCTGCTCCTGATTGGAGGAGAGCAGCGTACTCGGCGTGTGGGTAGCAGAGTTGGGATTGGTGGAAGAGGACTATAAAGGAGGAGAGAGACAACATGCACCAGGAACACCTGGAGGAACATCTGAGCAGCCCCCGAGAGAGCCGGCCGGTGGTGTGCCGCTCCCCCACGGAAGTGGGGAAAGTGGCAGGGGGAACCACCCTTCCACGGAGGTGGAAGGGACGGTAGCCAACCCGGGAAGAACCAGCAGCAAACCCGGGGAGGGCCGAGCAGACAAAAGAACAACGCAGGGTCCTGTGTCGTTCCTCTGCGAAGAGGGGGAGCGACACCTGGTCCCATAGTCTCTATGTCAAAGTATGACCACTTCTGCTTGCATGTCTCCTTTGTGCCTCTTAATTCTCCTAACTTGCAAGTCCATTTCTGACAGCTGCACTGTCTAAGGTTTAGTAAGATCACCCCCTGAGCATTCTGATTCATCCTCGGTTTGGTTTCTCCCACACATGCTAACTCACCCTTTTCTTTTGTGGTTAGTCTGGAAAGACAACGGGACAATTTCCCATGTATTCCTAATTCTATCTATGAATATTTGTGCACCCAACCACCTGCAAAGTAACATGTTAAAAATCAAATCCTCAAGATGATGGTACTGGGAAGAGGGACTTTAAGAGGCAATTAGGACCGGCGTCGTGGCTCACTAGGCTAATCCTTCGCCTTGCGGTGCTGGCACACCGGGTTCTAGTCCCTGTCGGGGCGCCGGATTCTGTCCCGGTTGTCCCTCTTCCAAGCCAGCTCTCTGCTGTGGCCAGGGAGTGCAGTGGAGGATGGCCCAAGTATTTGGGCCCTGCACCCCATGGGAGACCAGGAGAAGCACCTGGCTCCTGCCATCAGATCAGTGCGGTGCGCTGGCCGCAGTGCGCCAGCCGCAGCGGCCATTGGAGGGTGAACCAACGGCAAAAGGAAGACCTTTCTCTCTGTCTCTCTCTCTCACTGTCCACTCTGCCTGTCAAAAAAAAAAAAAAAATCCTAAAGAAAAAAAAAGAGGTAATTAGGTTATGAGGAAGGAGCCCTCAGGAATGGGATCAATGCCCTTAAGTTAAAGAGGCCTAAGAGCCTCACCAGTCCCTTCTGCCATGTGAGGACACAGTGAAAAGACGCTGTCTGGGAACAAGGAAGCCAGCGCTTCCCACACACTGCATCTGATAATGCCTTGATCTTGGACATTTTAGTCTCCTGACTGTGAGAAGTAAAATTTCTGTTGTTTATAAGCCACCATTCTGTGACAGTTGTGTAGCAGCTAGAACAGTTTAGGACGCCATTTAACACCTTTCCTCCATATTGTAACTCTTTTAGAAGCATGATAATGCAAATTGTTCTGCTTGACTTCATTCCCTAGTATCTAGTTTATAAAGGGCAGTAATAAATGTTTTTCTCAATGAGTTATGAAATATTTACTTTAGGCAGTGAAAAGGTCAAAGAATAGTACCAACTTCTGAAATACTCTGTGATAGACTGTAATAAGACTTGACAGTTTTTTCTCATCGTCCAATGCACTAATTTACTTTAAAAAATGGGATTTAGTTCTAATAAATGGGCCTTATATGTCTGCTGGGAAACGTGGAGCTGAACCAAAGTGACCCTGTAACTACAGACAACAGGGTTATGTCAGACAAGGACCTGAGCAAGACCAGGCACTGCCAAGTTGATTAATTTGGGGGGCATTTTTCCTAGAGTAGCAACACAGCAGAACCAATCTGTCATTATTAGAGGTCTACTCCCTGAGTCAATCACACGGCTACAGAGTAACTTATTTCCTTTAGCCATAGTGACAGTGAAGTTGAAGTCATAAGGAATTTTATTACACAAACAATTCAGACATCTTAAAACTAGAAGTTTCTTGTGTGTGAATGTGAGGGATGAAGTGGAGTAAGTAAACAAATCATTCGCACATTCCTTGTGAATATTTTCATGTATGCTGACATGATTTAAATCAAATGGAGTAATTTTCATTTATTATGAGAAATTTCATGCAAACCCAAGTATATATGTACAGGCATGCTTCAAAAAGGTTGTACATGGGGCCGGTGCTGTGGCGCAGTGGGTTAAGGCCCTGGCCTGAAGTGCCAGCATTCCACATGGGCGCCAGTTCAAGACCCAGCCACTCCACTTCCGATCCAGCTCTCTGCTGTGGCCTAGGAAAGCAGTGGAAGATGGCCCAAGTCCTTGGGCCCCTGCACCCACGTGGGAGACCTGGAAGAAGCTCCTGGCTCCTGGCTTCGGATCGGTGCAGCTCCAGCTGTTGCAGCCAATTGGGGAGTGAACCATCAGATGGAAGACTCTCTCTCTCTCTGCCTCTCCTCTCTGTGTAACTCTTTCAAATAAATAAATAAATCTTAAAAAAAAAAAGGTTGTACAAAATGGAATTACAAAATGTTTATTTTGGTGCAAGTTTGAAATCCATATAATTTTTCATGATATACATTTTCCATGAATTTTTTGAAGACATCTTATGTACAATATAAGCTATAATAATATGGATATATAATTATCACCCAGCCTACTGGACACAACCAAAGATTAGACTCCTTCTGTCTCTCTCTCTCATTCCAATTTATCTCTCTCACACCTCATATAAAAGACTTTTTTTATTATTTCTTTTTACTAATGAAACCAGACTGGATTGTGCTGTGAGAGAAAGAATTCCTTGAGTTAAGCCTCTGAGATCTGGGACTTGTTTCTTATAGTCATAAATCAGAGACTTGAACTTATGTGCTGCCTTAACATAATAATAAAACAAGTGACTTAACTTAGCAGGTCCACAGTGGGAGGCACAGGGACAAATATAGGAAGGTGAAAGCATGGAGATCCCTGCTGCGCAATGGCAGACCAAGTACTTACCAAGTCTGTAGGTCAAGGGAAAGACGCTGAAAAAAACTAATAATAATGTGTGCTCTATGTTACTGTCTTATGCAGAAGAAAAAGACAAGTTTGGATATAATTAACCAGTTTGCAAGAAGAATTAAAGGCAGTAAAGTGAGTCTATGTGTGAATTTGGAGCCTCAAAGGGCACTAGAGGGTTGGAGACACCAAATACTACAAGACCACAGAAGGAGACAGAAATCAGAAGGGTTTTCAGCAACAAGAGGTCATTAAGACTTGGGCTTCTGGCAAAGATCAATTATAGTGTTAACTTCACACCCTAAATCTAAATACTTGCATGATAGCTGCCATTAGATATGAGGAGGTGTGGGCCAAAGAAACAAGTAATGCTGTGAAATTAGGATTAGTATACCTGGTATTGACTGCAATTCTGATGGAATTATCCAAGGAACCATAAACTTGGGCTAAAAAGCCTTTTACTTATCTGTAAGGACATCTCTTGAGACATTAGTCTGTTCAAACAGAAAATGAACTTTGAAAGCTGTTTATCCCCCAAAGGAGGGCATAACCCCTAACATCCACTTCAAATGTAGACAAGACTAGAAAGGAGAAACATCCATGAAGTGGAGCTAGGGGCTGCTGAGTGCAATGGACAAGGAAATTCTTTCCAGGAAGCAGAATCAAGAGTCTAATCACGGAACTTGCCCCATTCACGGGGCAGAGGATCTTTACCATGCTGGCCAGTGTGACTGTATAACTGCTATGGACCAGTAATGCGGTGCATTCTTCCCTTACAGATTTACCTCATCTTTCCCTGCACAGACACTGACTGGTACTTTCCACAGCTGTTTGGGCCCAGCCATATCTGTATCCGATTGTACAGCATTTGTATCAATGCTCAAAAGAGCAGCATCCTAAAAAGACACTGATGAAAAAGCAAAAAGATGCTTCTTGGTTCTGCAGACTTGAAAATATCCTGAGTTAGAATCAATTTAGGGACCAGCGCTGTGGCTCAGCCATTAAAGCCCTGGCCTACAGCACTGGCATGCCATACGGGCTCCAGTTCAAGTCCTAGCTGCTCCACTTCCAATCCAGCTCCCTGCTAATGAGCCTAGGAAAGCAGTGGAGGATGGGCCAAGTCCTTGGGCCCCTGCACCTACGTGGGAGACCTAGAAGAAACTTCTGGCTCATGGCTCCTGGCTTTGGCAGGGCCCAGCCCCGGTCATTGTGGCCATATGGGGAGTGAACCAGCAGATGGAAGCCCTGTCTCCCTCTGTCTCTACCTTTCTCTGTAACTCTGCAGTTCAAATAAATCAAATAAATATTAAAAAAAAAAAAAGGAATCAATTTAAAATCCAGCTGAGGGGCCAGTGCTATGGTGTAGCAGGTAAAGCCATCACCTGTGATGCCGGCATCTCATTATGGGCACCAGTTAAAGTTCCGGTTGCTCCACTTTTTTTTTTTTTTTTTTCCTTGGACAGGCAGAGTTAGTGAGAGAGAGACAGAGAGAAAGGTCTTCCTTTTTTTCGTTGGTTCATACCCCAAGTGGCTGCTATGGGTGTTGCAGCCGGCGCACTGCGCCTATCTGAAGCCAGGAGCCAGGTGCTTCCTCCTGGTCTCCCAAGCGGGTGCAGGGCCCAAGGACCTGGGTCATCCTCCACTGCACTCCCAGGCCACCACAGAGAGCTGGACTGGAAAAGGAGCAACCGGGACAGAACCGGCGCCTGAACCGGGACTAGAACCCGGGGTGCCGGCGCCACAGGCAGAGGATTAGCCTAGTGAGCCAGCCCCATTGCTCCACTTTTGATCCAGCTCCCTTCTAATGCACCTGGGAAAATAGCAGAGGATGGCCCAATTCCCTGGGCCCTTGCAACCACGTGGGAAACCTGGAAGAAGTTCCTGGCTCCTAGTTTCAGATCCATCCAGCTCCAGCCCTTGTGGCCATTTAGGGAGTGAACCAGCAGATGGAAGATCTCTGTCTCCCCAACTTTCAAATAAATAAATCTTAGAAAAAAATAAAATACAAGTAAAATTACCAACTGAAATTCTAGAATCTGATTGTAGTTATTCCAATGGCCATCATTATCAGCAAATAGCTGAGTTTATCTCTGTGTAGCTGCTAAGAAAGGCTACTGACAAAAACCAAATACCTGCAAGCCTTACTGAAAATACTGTTTGTTACAATATAAGTGGACATAGGCTAAATGCTTCAACAATTAAAGCCCAAATCTGTGGCTTATCATACATAGACACTTACAAAAGGATTTACTTTTCAACCACAATCAAATGAAGGTTGGTGTGGTAAAAGAAATAGATCTGCTATATTCAGTGTTCCAGGGACCCTAGTCTCTTCCAGCCTGTGAGTCTATCATGCCCTGGGGCCTCCAAGTTTCCTTTTAAACCCTCAACATGTAAAAATAAAACAAGAGGTTTTTTTTTTTTTTAAGTACAACCAATAAGGATCACCTGCGAGATCACAGAAATTATATACATCACATATGCATAGGTTGTATTGCCCTGAAGTCAGTCACAGGGTCACATCTAGCCACACACAGTGTTTCCTATCTATATATCTAAACATAGCTGTATACAAACCACACACAACTCAACAGTTTCACACATATCTCACTAAACAAAGTAGCGCATACACTACACAGTGACCAAGTATTTCATGTGTGAATGCAGCCTCATTTGTGTGCTCCACAGAAAAAAGAATGAGTCTATTGAGTATTCAGCAGGCTTTGTCCCATCTATTGATTTGATCACTAAATACCTTTAGTCTTTCCTTGCCAGAATAAACTCACCTCCTCACCAAGGAAGATAAAACAAAGCCCCACCCAGACATTTTATCCAGCATAAATTCCAGTAATTGAGGTGACAAAAACATATTTAGGTGATAATATACATATGTTATAGATGAAAAGCAAAATGGATTTTTACATTGGATTTTAAGAGATTTTCTTTGTTTTTGTTGGTGGTTTGGTTTTGATTAAAAGGATGGATGTTTTGCTTCTGGCCTTTAATGAGTAACAGGAACAAATCTTCCCCTTTTTGGACAGAAATACATTGGCCTCAACCAGCCTCCTACCTGAATAATTGAGTTAGTCTAATGGAGCCTCTGTTTATAGTGAACTATGCAGCTGGCTTGATGTGCTAGCAGGTTGTAACCTAATCTAAGAGAATATTCTTGTGGTTAAGCAGCATAATCTCAGCCAATCACAGACTGAAGGTTGCCAAATTATACCCAAATAAGGCAAAGGCCAGACTTTATCAATCAAGTAATCTCTGTATGTCATTTCCTATTTTTTTATCTATAAAAATAGCTCACCATTTTGTAAGGAAATGGGACCTGCTAAACCATCTTCAGCCTAGAAAGCTGCCTGATTCTAGAAACTTTCTTGCTAAACTGAACTGGTCTGGGGCTGGAACTGTGACATAGTAGGTTAAGCCTCCACCTGCGTTGTTGGCAACCCATATTGGCACCAGTTCAAGACCTGGCTGCTTCATTTCTGATCCAGCTCCCTGCTGATGGCTTGGGAAAGCAGTGGAAGATGGCCCAAGTGCTTGGGCTCCTGCACCTGTGTGGGAGACCTGGAAGAAGATCCTGGTTCCTGGCTTCTGATTGGCCCAGCTCAGCTATTGCAGCCATTTGGGGAATGAACCAGCGGATGGAAGACCTCTCTGTCTCTTCCTCTTTCTGTCTGTAACTCTGCCTATCAAATAAATAAATCTTTAAAAAAAAATTGAACTGGTCTCCATTTTTCTTTTAGCACTCACTTGTTGTGAAAAAATAGAAAACAGATAAAAAGATTAAGTAATTGAATTCAGACATTGAGCAACATATACCACAAGGCTGTGATTCCTGAGAGAAAGTGAGCCCTAGCATTGCTCAATGTTTCTGCCTGAAGTTACATTAAAGATATCAGAAGAGGAAGGGAAATCCCAAGCAAAGCATGGCAGTTTAACATAGTTGAGGAGGCAGAGGCTGGAGTTCAGGGAGGCTACAGTGGCTAGAAGTTGCAGAGCAAAGTGTCAGAAAGGAAGGAGTTATACAAAACAAGATTCTAGAAATCTGCGTAAGAGCCCCCTGTCTGAACATGAAGGGCCAGGAGCTTAGAAGGAAATGCTAAGATCAAGCAAATGACCCACAAAAGCTTAGAAGCATTTGACCCCAAATAGACAGAGCATCCTCATTGATCAATCACACCACTAAATGGAGATCTCATATTAACTAGTCTTAGTAATGAGGCTAAACTATCTCTTGGGAAAAGGTTACTCTATATCCATCCTAACAAAGGCTTATAAAGATTAAACTAAACTGCAAGTAACTTAACTGCTTATAAGACAAGCACAACAAAATCTATAACAAACAATTGAAATCACCAAAGTCCAGCGTCCAATAATAAAATCAGAGCTATAACAAGAAGCAGAAAATGATTTTTAGGGGCAAGTGTTGCAGTGTAGTGGGTTAAGTTGCCACTTGGAACAATATCCCGTATCAGAGTGCCAGTTCAAGTCCTGGGTATTCTGTTTCCTGTCCAGCTTCCTGCTAGTGCCTGTAGGAACTGCAGATGATGGTCCAAATTACTGGGTCTCTGCCACGCATGTGCGAGATTGAGATGGAGTTCTGTACTCTTGGCTTCAGCCTGGCCCAGCCCTAGTAGATGAAAGACCTCTGTTTCTCTCCCTCTCTCTCTCTCTCTCTCTCTCTCTCTCTCTCCCCCTCACTCTGCTTTTCAAATAAATTAATAAATAAACCTTTATTTAAAAAAATATGTATTTGAAAGAGTTACTGATAGAAAAGGAGAGAAAGATCTTCCATCCATTGGTGCACTCCCCAAACAGCCACTGTGGACAGGGCAGGGTCAGGCCAAACTCAGGAGCCAGGAGCTTCTTCCAGGTCTCCCAAGTGGGTACAGGGTTCCAAGCACTTGGGCCATCTTCTGCTGCTTTCCCAGGAACATTAGCAGGGCCTGGATTGGAAGTGGAGCAGCAAAGACACGAACCAATGCCCATATGGGATGCCAGCACCATAGGCAGCAGCTTTACTGGCTATACCACAACACCGGCCCTGTCAATATATATTTTCTAGGTTCTTTTTGGTGTTCTGTGATTCCTATTGCTTATCTTTACTACATTAAGATATCAGGTTATTTTCAATAAAACTCCCTCCCACACTACCCTTTCAAACATACACATAGGTATCTTTAAATCATTCTACAGACAGGAAAGCTCAGTAAGCTTCCCTGAGGTACACAGCTTGCTAAAACATGTTGCATTTTTCTGTTCCACAAGTCTTATTCCTCTCCCTCTCTCCCTATTTCTGGACAATAGTTGAGTGAAACAAGAAATTGTGTATATTGAAGAACTATATCTTTTGGTATTATCAGTGAACCAAAGTTCCCTTTCTGTAGGCTCCCCCTATTGATATCTTTAAATACTTAAAAATATATGTATGAAGAACTTTGTATCAATCTAATATCAGATTCTCCTGTGACATAAAATCTACAAACATATATTTAAGTTAAACAAAATGTAGTAGGTGCCTGTCATCTGCTGGGTACTAAGCTAGCTAGTGACAGATGATGAATATAGCTGTTTATTAAATTAAAATGCTAGAGATAAATAACACCAATAAGCTTCAGAATACAGGAAACACTTGGAAGAAGAGAATTTTGATTTATCAAAAGTTAATTGCTGCATAGTAGTCAACATGTGGATGAATCTCCATTCACATAAGCATTTCCCTATAATTTTCCAGTGAGGAAACCTATATTTTTGATGCTGTAAATAGTGCTGTTAAACTGCTTGTCCTGTGTTTTCTACATGCAGGATTCCTCATTTGGGTAGATAACTAGAGGTATAATTCAGTTGATAAATGAACATTAAATTTATTTGATAATATGAACACTGTTTTCCAAATAAATTATACTAATTTATTCTTCCACATGCAGAATATTAGAACTATTTTTAAACTTCAGAGTTGTTCACATTTGAAAATTATCTTTTTGAAAACAACTTTATTTTACAGATGAAAAATGGTACCTAATTTGGCTTACATTTAACAAATGGCCATTAATAATATTGAACCTGATTTTGTTAGTTTTTGGATACTGGTACAACAATGATGTTTTTGAAATTCTAGTCAAGTATTTATGACTTATAAATATATTGCCTATATAACACATTCAACATATATTTTAGGGAATTGTTTTTGGCTCAGTTTTGTTATCTGATAAATGATCAAGGAATGACAAAATCCAAATAGCATCAAAAGGGATACTGAGGGGCTGACAATGTGGTATAGTAGGCTAACCTCTGCCTGCAGCACTGGCATTCCACATGGGTACCAGTTCAAGTCAGAAAGCAATAGAAGATGACCCAAGTGCTTGGACCCCTGCACCCATGTGAGAGACCCAGAAGAAGTTCCTGGCTCCTGTCTTCAGATCAGCCCAGCTCTGGCCATTTGGGGACTGAACCAGCAGATAGAAGACATCTCTCTCTTTCTCTCCTCTTGCTTTCTCTGAAATTCTGCCTCTCAACTAAATACATCTAAAAAAAAAAAAAAAACCGATACTGAGTTATCGTATTCAAACTTTCACCATTATAGGAACCCTTTCTATAATATCCCTGAAAAAGGATCGCATAGACTGCTTAAGGAATTCTACTGATGACAAACTTTATGGAGAGTTCTCCAGATAATAACAATTTTCCTGTAACTGAAATAGTAAAAATGAAAATGTTTAGATAAAGGTAAAAGGATTCTATAAATTCAATATTTTTAAATTGATACTTGAATATTAATTTGTTATAAAAAGTGTCCTATTCTCAATAATGATATAACTCCACAATTATCACACTTAAAGTATACAATTCAATGAATTTTAGTATATTCACAGAGTTGTGCAACTGTCACTACAATCAATTTTTAAACATTTTCAGGGGCCAGTGCTGTGGCATACCACCTGAAACACCAGCACCCCATACGGGCTCCAGTTCGAGTCCTGGCTGTGCCACTTACAATCTAGCTCCCCACTAATACAATCTGGGAAAGCAGCAGAAGATAGCCCAAGTGCATGGGCCCCTGCACTCACATGGGAGACCCAGAGGAAGCTCCTGGCTCCTGGCTTCTGCCTAGTCCAGCCCTGGCTGTTGCAGTCATTTGGGGAGTACACCAGTGGATGGAATATCTCTCTGTCAAACACACTATTTTTCTCTCTCTCTGCCTCTGACCCTCCGTAACTCTGCCTTTCAAATAAATAAATAAATCTTAAAAAAATTTCATCACAAAGAAACCCTGTACCCAATATCAATGTCACTCCTCACCATTGACCCTCCCATGAACCCTAGCTTCTACTTTATTAATCTCTATGAATTTATGAATTTGCCTGTTTTGAACATTTCCTATAAATGGAATCACACAATATGTGGACTTTTGTGATCTGATTCTTTCATTAAGAACGTTTTCAAAGTTTATGTATTGTTTAGCATATATCAGTACTTCAGTGCTTCTTATTGCTATATAGTACCCATTGTTTGAATAAACTGTATGTTGTTTATCCATTCATCAGTTTCCATTTTCTGGCTATTATGAATAATGGTATTATAAACATTCATGTACCTATTTTTATACAGAGATAGTCTTCCATTTCTCTTGAGTGTATACGTAGGAATGGAACTGCTGGGTCATATGGTAAGAGGAAGTGACAGGTTTTCCCAAGTGACTGTACCATTTTACATACCTACCAGAAATGTATGAGGGTTCCTATTTGTCCACATCCTTGCCAACAATTATTAATTATTTGAAGTAATTAAATATTATTTTGCTAAATAGTATTTTACTGAACTTTTGCTGTATAGATTCTGTACACTCCAATAAAAACACAAGTATTCATATTAATAGATATTTGAATATAAAATGAGATAAAGACTCTACCGTCATTTTTGCACTAACTATTCTAGTAAATAATTGAATTTTCTTAAAAAAGAAAATCATTACTTTCCAGGCTTAGGACAAGGCAAAACTTTTTTCTACTTTAATACTCCTTGCACAAAAAAATTAGAACTATATAACTAGGCTGGCGCCGCGGCTCACTTAGCTAATCCTCTGCCTTGTGGCACTGGCACACCGGGTTCTAGTCCCGGTCGGGGCGCCAGATTCTGTCCCGGTTGCCCCTCTTCCAGGCCAGCTCTCTGCTGTGGCCCGGGAGTGCAGTGGAGGATGGCCTAAGTGCTTGGGCCCTGCACCCCATGGGAGACCAGGAGAAGTACCTGGATCCTGCCATCGGATCAGCGCGGTGCGCTGGCCATGGCGGCCATTGGAGGGTGAACCAACGGCAAAAAGGAAGACCTTTCTCTCTGTCTCTCTCTCTCTCACTGTCCACTTTGCCTGTCAAAAAATTTAAAAAAGAACTATATAACTGATTCCTTCTTTGCATTGACTGATAGAAAACTTAAAGCTAGAGCTTTTCTTAGTTGGTAATTCTTGCAAAACTTTAACTTTTATTTTCATCTTTTGTTTTGTGGATGTTGTTCTTTTATCTCTGTATCTAGTAAATGCTAATTAACATTGTTTCTAGAAGGAAACAAATAAAAGGAAGAAAATAAATATGTGATAAATATATTTAATCTGCAAAGCAATCCCAAGGCAGTTGTTAGAATAAATATTCCCAACTATATAACTGATAAAACTGAGGCAAAGAAAAGTGATTTACTCAATGTCAGAAATTTAAAGGTGGCAAAACTGATATTAGAATACAAATCTTTAAGAGTCCTCTATTTCAGTTCTTTGAACTATATATCACCAACATTCCATCATTCTGTTTAAGACAGACATTTTCTGACATCTGGAAGTATCCCAAAATAGCTTCTGCAGAACTATTAAGCATGACTCTCCTCTTAAGATGGTCCACTAATATGCCATCTCAGTGACTGAGATCATCTTCAAGGTTCTTTAGTCCAATCCCCAAAATAGCTTAGCTCTATATTTAAGGAAACAAACTTGTTTATTTTTCATTGATATTCATAATTATCATTGGTGTTTACATTATCAATTGACTGCTAATGCTAAGAAAGATGATATAAGACATAAAAATCTAGTACTTATCTAGCAATATGGGTCATAGTACCAGATATCTGTAGTTAGCTTACAAACAGAAAATATTTCCAAATACTTATAGTTTCAATGTAGAATAACTTAAAGGAAATTACTTTATATTTTCTGTATTACATTTTAAATTCATAAAAGAATTATTTGGCCTTATGAAATGCATGCATCTGTTCATAAAGAAATAAACATATGTAGAGGTAGCTTTAGAAATGCATTTGATAATCATTACTGGTGATACTGAAGAGAACTAAGTTTAGTGCCAGATAGAAGGTGGAAACACCATTATCTGGAAACTCTACTTACCTCTGGGTGACTTCTGGAAATATAAAAATTTCACTTATTAAAGTGAATTAAAACTTAAAACTTATTAAAGTACGCAAATAAAGTATAGGTGTGTTGTAGACTCAGATGACATAAAAATGTCTTAATGACAAAAATAATCTAAACATAAGTTGGATATTTTAAAAAAATTATAAATGCCTTCTCTTGTCCTCGATCTATCTCCACTTCCAGATTTAAATATTTTGAACACATGCAAAGTTTGCTCCAATGAATTAGGCTATCATTGTGAGATAATAAACATCAAAAAAATGATTTAAATCATCATTTGCTAAGTGGCAAGACTCTGATAGAATGAATAAATATTGATTTTTCTAGACTGGTAATAAATTTTACTTGAGTCGTTTTGCAAGTATGGAAAATTAAGACAAGATGAAAGATGTAATAAAGATCTCCTAAATTCAGGGCAAGGGGCTAGACTATCAACAGGAACTGGGCTATAAATAGGCTAATTCACAATTGAAGGATGTTTCTATGATACCATGATATTTTGAATCATTTTTATGCATTTAGATGCATAAAAATGCATTTGTTAAACCTAGGGCTTAAAACACTAATCATGATAGTTTAAAGTAGCAAAAAGTTCTATAAATTCACATTTCAGCTAATAGCCAGATATAATAGCAATGTTACTATTACAGTAGATCATAGATATATTATTAAAGGCCAACTGTAATGATGTCAACCTACAGATATTCTAGGATATTAAATCACAAGTATTTCCTTTAACTGTTTTAAGGTCATAGGGAAATTACTTTCATGCAGACAAAGGAACAAACTGGAGGGACAGCTAAAGAGAAGTTTCACAGTTCTTTCTTATCTATTTCATTCCCTGAAAAACAAAATGTGTTTAACTTTAGCTTAACAAGCTGAATATTCTAAATAGTGAAAAGAGGGGAAGAAATAGATATCCGCCTAGTTCTGGAATCATGGATTGAGTTTTGGAAGATGGTTTGATCTTGTAACCTTTTTTACTGGTCCTCTCTTGGCATTCGCTATCTTCTGGTGAACTGGATTAAATCTTCCCCTGAAATAAAATAAGTTGATTGTGATTTTTCAGTCACCATTGTGTATCACAGAAACATTATATGCCCCACAGGGAGAACTGTATATTGCAAATAATTCTCCCAGTCCTTCTCATGGAATCTTCTTTTTCATATTTTCTGCTTACAGCACAATCTTAGACAGAAACATGTTATACCACATCATCTCGCCATAACCATAGAGATAATCAACACAAAGGTAGATGATCCAAAGACTGGAATGCAGTACACCAGGTGCCCTAAAATGGATAATAGACCATTTGATACTTGCCACTGGAATTTGAATTGAAAGAGAGAGAGAGAAAGAGAGAGAGAGGCTAACTTTATTAAGTAGATCAAGGACAATAAAGCTATAAGGATCTATGAATTTAATAGGATCCTCTTTCCCTTTTTGACCTATATATCTTTATAAAGTTAACCTTCTTTACACTCTTACTTGGGGTAGTAAGAGGCCACTTCAATTCCCTACAATGCAGTTTAAAATATTTTAGTTAAAGGGGAACTATCAACAAAATGACTGGGTAAGACATCATTTTCTCCTTTTCTTATGAAGAACATCATCCCCTCCACAAAAGCCATGAGAAACTGGAAAAATGGTCAGAAGTAATTTTCAGAACTCTGGGCACTCACTGAAGTCTTGCAGCAATCTGTGAGAAATTATTTTTTCAAAAGACAACTGAAACAAAGTAAGCACATAGAGATTTGTGGCACTGTAACTTGCTCTCTTCCTATCTGTCGTCCCCACCCTACCCTCTTCCCAGCTGTATGCTACCCTTGAAAACCAACAGCCCATAATCACAGCAAAAACCAGTTGGCTGGGGATACAGTAAGGTCAGTGCTCTGTTAAAGCCTCTTACATTCCCATATTATTTTAATTATTTAAACAGTCTGGAGATTATTTAAAAGACTCCACATACAAAGTAGTCTTTATTTGACCTGACCTAAAGATGATCCAAAATGAAAAATATTTTTACTAGGGGCATTTCCTGGAAAAATAGAAGTTACTATTTAATTTCGTATCTCCATGAATCAGTAAATAAGAGATAATTTTTAAAATAGGCTAACCAGAAAGTCTAAAAGAAAAAGTTGGGGAATGAGCACTCATAAGTTGCAACATATTTCTTGGAATCCAGGTGGTCATACATGGTATAACTGTGTGCATGCATAGGGCTTTGTGCATACTAAGCAAAACCCTTAGATGGATTAAGGTCTTGCCTCAGGCTGATCCTAGGATTTCTCACAAGCAGGAATTGAAGGCTAAGGGAGAGTTATAATTTGTGACTGAGTACTGATGGCATGACACAACACACACATGGAGCAACTCAACAAAGTCTGGGAAACTTATTTAATTCAGTATTTAAAGAAATCTCAGTCCAATCATTAGCTAACTATTAAGGTAACTTTGCAGAGATTCCAGTAGCCAGAGACTTGACACAATTATAATTCAGAAGCCACTAAAACACAACAACAAACCATGGAGACAGGAGAGACTATTATATACATAAGGCACACATTAAATTACTTAAAATGTCCAGGTTAAACAAACAATTATAAGACATGCAAAGATACAGGAAAGTATGGCTCTTACACAAGAAAAATGTAATTGATAAAAATTCCCTGAAGAAGTGTAAATATTGGACTTATTGGAAAAAGAATTTATATCTACTATTTAAATATGCTCAAAGAACTAAAGGAAACCACCTATAAAGAATGATGTCTCTATAAATAATATCAATTATAAAGAGATGTTAATTGTTTTAAAAGGAACCAGACATCCTAGAGTTAAAAAATGAAGTAACTGAAATGAAAATTTCACTAGAGGAGCTCAACAGCAGATTATAGCTAATAAAATTAGTGAAGTTGAAGATAGGTCAATTAAGATTATACAGCTTAAGCAAAACACAACAAAGTGAAAAACAAAAGCCTCATATATATCGAACATGCTAAAGTTAATCAAAATATAAACAATGAGTGTCCCAGAAGCAACAGGGAGAGAGAAAAGAGCAGAAATAACAGTAGAAATATAATAGCTAAAGATTCCCCAAATTTAATGAAAAATATTAATCTACAAGTTGAAGAAGTTAAGCAAATGCCAATAAAGATAACATGAAGAGATCAATATGCAAACACATTATAGTCAAACTATCACTCAAACTAACATTCCCAGATAAACAAAAATTGAAGTAATATGTCACTAGTAATCCTACTTTATAAAAAATACTAAAGGAAACCCTTCAAGTTAAGAAAAAAGAACAGGGTACAGTATTGCAAATCTACATGAAAAATAAAGAAAACTGTTAACAATAACTAAATAGGTAAACATAAAAGACAGTACAAATGTATTTTAATTTGTAACTGTTTAAATTTATTTGTAATAAAATGTATATTTTATTTGTAATTCTTTTTAAATCTATAAGATTCAGAAAATAACTGTATGAAGCAATAATTATAAATCTGTTGATGAAAACAATGTATAAAGAAGCAATTCATATGACAATAACAATACAAATTAAGAAGGAGAAACTAGAGCTATGCAAAAGAAATTTTTGATAGACTATTGAAATTAAACTTGTTTTCATGTAAAGCAGACTGCTATAAGTTAAAAATGTTAATGGTAATTGAGACCAGAACCAAATAGCTTCATTCATTCTCCAATTCTTTTACTTACTCTTCATAAAGATCACACAATGGAGAATACTTCCCAATTTATTCTGCAAAGCAACTACAGCTATTCTCTCAGTATCTGTAAAGGATTGATTCTAGGACTCAATATGAATACCAAATCCACATATGCTCAGATTCCTTACATAAAATGGCACAGTCTTTGCATGTAACCTACATATGTCTACCTTTATACATCATCTCTAGATGGCCTATAATACCTTTAATGATGAAAATATTATGTAAATACACATTAAAATGTATTTTTAGGGAATAATGACAAAGAAAATGTTCTGTACAGATGCCCCCCCCCCAAATATTTCAATGCATGCTTGACTGAATTCACAGATGTGGAAAACAGCTGACTGTATGAGGGGTCTTCAAAAAGTTCATGGAAATGCATGTTGGGAAAAAACCTATGCATGGTTTCAATCTTTTTTCACACAAATAAATTTATCTTTTAATTACATTCTCTACAAACTTTTCAAAGTATTTTTTTAAATGTAGATGCTTTCCTTTTTTAAGATTTTATTTATTTATTAGAGAGGTAGGGTTACAGACAGAGGGAGACAGAGAAAGGTCTTTCTTCCATTGGTTCACTCCACAAATGGCTGCAACAGCCAGAGCTGTGCTGATCTAAAGCCAGAAGCCTGGAGCTTCTTTCAGGTCTCCTACATGGGTGCAGGGGCCCAAGCACTTGGACCATCTTCTGCTGCTTTCCCAGGCCATAGCAGAGAGCTGGATTGGAAGAGGAGCAGCTAGGGGGTCTAGAACCAGCGCCCATATGGGATGCTGGCACGACAGGTGAAGGATTAACCTACTGCGCCAAGTCGCTGGCCCCCAAAGTATTCTTGTGTTATCCTTATATTCTTGCTTCTACTTGCTTTTGGTTTGGTTTGCTCTTTTCTTTCCAAATTTCTTAAGATTGAACATAGAGTTTTAATTTCAAGATATACATTTACAAGTATAGATTTCCCTCTAAGCGCTAAACTTGATAAAGTGCATCTCTGAAAATAATTCCAGCCAATATCATACTTAACATAAAGCCTAAAGATTTAATATCAGCAACAAGTTAAGTATGTTCACTATTAACACTTTTATTTAACATTGTATTGGAAGTTCTTGACAAATCAATTAGACAACAAAAATAAATTAATATAAAAATTTAAAAGGACAAAGTAAAGCTATCTCTATTTTCAGGTAACATCATCTTGTATATAGAAAATACTAAAGAACACACACACATCTCTAACTGATCTAATAAATTTGTCAGGGCTTCTGTTTGAACAATCAATCTACAAAATTCAATTGTATTTACAGATACCAGCAGTAAATAGTACCAAAACAAAATTCACAAATGAAAGATTTTATACAAAAAATATAAAATGCCTCTGGAGGGAATTAAAGAAAGCCTGAATAAATTGGAAGACATTCCATGTTCATTGACTTGAATACTTTGACACTGTTGAGATGGCAATACTACTCAAAATTATCTATAGATTCAACCCAATCTCCATTTAAATACCAGTTGCCTTTTATGAAGAAACTGACAAGCTGATCCTAAAATTCATGTTGAAATAAAAATACTCTAAATAAAAATCTTGGAAAAGAACAATAAAACCAGAGAGTTTACACTTTCTGATATCAAAACATTACTAAAAAGATAGTCATCAAGACAATGTATGACATAATTCCAAGTTACAAGTCAGTGAAACAGCTCTGAGTCTAAAGATAAATTTGTATGTTTATGGTCAACTGACTTGAAAGGATTCTAAGGCAATTTAATTGGGGAACAACAACAACAACAAAAAAAACTGGGCAACTGCACCACATACAAAGACCATAATTGAACCCCTACTACCATATACAAAATTAACTCAGGGACCAGCATTGTGGTGCACCAGGTTAAGCCACCACCTACAATGCCAGCATCCCATAAAGGTGCCATTTCAAGTCCTGGCTGCTCCACGTATGTTCCAGCTCCCTGATAAAAGCCTTAGGAGATGTCCTAAGACCTTGGGCCCCTGCAGCCATGCAGAAGACTGAAGGAGTTCCAGCCTCCTAACTTTGGCATGGCCCAGCTCCGCCTACAGCAGCCATATGGGGAGTGAACAAGAAAATGGAAGATTTCCCAGTCTTTCCCCTCTCTCTGTAACTGCCTTTCCAATAAATAAATAAATATTTAAAAAAAATTAATTCAAAAGGGAGCTAAATCTATAAAACTGTTAGAAAAAAACAAAGGCTTGTAGCTCCATATTTTTAGATTAGGAAATGGCTTCTAAGATATAACACTTAAAGTACAAGTAACCAAATAAAAATAGAT